CCACAACTGAACCGCGGCGACTGAGTTAACGCCGAGACAAACCGAGTACCTAAATTACACAAGCTATACATCGCAAACACGCAAGCCCACTACTCTTATGGCTGAATGCATAGGTTTAGGGATAGGGCCCTATCACTAGTTAACCCCAAATTTTGGGTTCGCTATGTTGATGACACGTCTGTCATTGTTAAAACGACCAACTGGAAACACTACACAACATCATCAATTCAACGATGCCTGAAATCAGATTTGAGCTTGAAAAAATAAATTAACAGTAAACTTCCCTTTCTTGACGCCCTCGTACAGCGTAATACTGGCGGAACTTTTCAAACATCGGTTAAACGCAAAAGGACCTACGCTGATGTTATCTTTCATTACAAGAACAACCACCCTATTGCTCATAAACGGAGTGCTGTTATCGCCCTCATGAATCGAGCAAGATTGCATTGTTCTTGCCCCGAACTCTACCAAGCCGAACTCCGCTACCTGTTCCAATTCTTTCCAAAAAGCGGTTACCACAGAGAGTTCGTGCGTTGATGTATGAGACGACAATTGGTTAAACAAAAAGAAAAGGAACTAGATTGTTCCGATCGAGCGCCTAATTCAGGACGTTGGTGAACACTTCCATATATTAAGAACGTGTCTGAACTCGTTGGAAGACACCTGAGGAAGTACCAGATCCGAGTGGCGCACAAACCAATGACCACACTTCGAAATAAACGTCTACATCATAAGGATAGAGTTGCCTACTTGAACATAAAAGATGTCGTTTATAAAATTCCTTGCGGCGACAGCCATTCAATTTATTGAAAACAAACAAGAAGGCCCGTCTCTACAGGCATACATGAACATCAGTTAGCGATAAAGAGGCGCTACCAGCTATCCTAAGTCACCATGCATTCGCATGAAAGTGGGCACAAGTTTGCATGGGACCAAACCCGCATAGAAGTTTCCTGCCCATATAAGAAAGGCTGATAATTTTTGGAGGCCATTAATTCTGACAAATCATGCATCAACAAGCACGCCGATTTGGATTCAATGTATACCAATCTCAAAAAAGCCTGGACAACGCGCCAATTGAACATGGATGACGAAGCATTATCGATTTTTTCGGTACATTGAAAAATGCGCACTGCTGTTTACACATTTTCCTGACGTCCGAAGACGACCTGGTGTGCCAGGATCAAAACTTTACAATAATGTTTATTCCTGCTTCCAAAAGAATTTCTTCTATCAAACTATACTTCTTCGGATGCCTATGTTCAAATTCATAACGTTAAAAGTACAATAACACTCACACACAAAGAGGCTTTATAGCATGATACGGGAGTTACAGGATAAACGAAGGTTTAGCAAGTGATTGTCCCAAATGGGCTCTCATCTGTGCACATAGTGCTTTTGCTGGGTGAGTCGGTAGCACAGCAGCTAGGCAAGTTTCAAAATGTGACCATTTTGTAAGCAGCAAGTGCCAACCAATCATACATATTTGTAATAGGTAAGTTGGAAGAGACCTTTAGTTCATCTGATCACATATTATACCACTGGCTCTCACGCGAGCTAGACGTCATAGAGTGGCCAGTTAAGAATCACATGAAACGTAGGCATCACATGTCAATTAAGCACTCGAAAAAAACAATATACCTAGGCTGTGTGAGTGAGTGTACAAAGTAACATCTCCGTTGATCTGTGCTGTATCTTTATGAAAGAAATAGGTAGAAATTAGTTGCAAAATCCAGTTCGTTTAAAGCAGTGTCACTGTTTAATTTTATATAAGGTAGCTCCGTGGTTCAATAGCAGATTTACTGCCACCGAGTTCGCTTTTCTGGCACCTGCCCATCCACTGTTAAATCATTATCCGTGTTCAGTTTACTTGTTTTCTCGCCTAAGGTCGGGCAATTAAGACCATTTTGACACTATTGACATTCACTGTGTCAGTGGGAATCACCGAAAATATATGAAACTTGCCTTCAGTTCTGCTGGACACATTCTAGACCTGCTAGGCCAACCACAGTCATCACTCACGGTAGAGTGGATTGGTCGACCTCGGGGCCGCACAAGTATCGGAGAGCAACAGAAACTGTTTTTACTTCCGTTGTCGTTTTGAATAGCATATAAGTAATAACTGCTCAGTTATAGGAGATTGCTCAACACTCAAGTTATCGTATATTTTAGCCCGTTAGTCGCATTTGCTAGCTGGAATTACCTACATTACGACCGTGTGAGTTTTAGTCTGTCCACTAGTGCACTTTTTCTGATCCTCATCTTGATTTACGGCGCATGAAAGTCAGTAGCACAAATATGGGACCAGAGAAATCAACCTCTTTAGGAGCTAAGTATTTCGTAATAAATCACAGATCGGAGCCAAATCAATAGGAATATCCATTGCATGCAGAGAAAAAATATTAGTGGGAGACAAGACGTATTAACCTCGTTAAGGGTTGGATGTAAGACGTCATCTCGAAAACGTTCTGTTCGATTTGAGTTTTGTACGATTAGATAATAACTCTGTACTGGTAGGATAGGTCGTCGTTCCGAAATATGGCTGCAGTACCTCCTTGCCCACTTCAATACAATTGCCGTATTTCGCTCTTTTCTCGTCCAGGACCCGGCAAGGCACATTTCACCACTCTTTCCTAACATTGAATATGTGCTTATCGTCATACGCTGTGAGCAGGAAATCCCTCTGAAGAGGATAGGCGAGACACTCAATTCGACAGTCAGAAGAATTGCAGAAAACCTGAGCAAGCATGAAAT